CCTCTGTACAATACAAAACAATGGCCAGCACTATAAATCTATAGCATATAGGTTAATATGTAAAATAATACTATTATTTTGCTCAAGGGCATAGTATTAAACTTTCCTGTAAATCTGCTCTCTCTATCCATAGATTACTACATGTTCTCTGACATTGTCAGTGACATTCCTTTCTGCAGTGGGTAGTAGTGAGCACAAAATTCACAGCCAGTCAAAGTGTAGACAACGGTGGTTCTCAACCTGTGGGTCGCTACTCCATTGGGGATTGAATGACCTTTTCACAGGGGTCGCATATGAGATATCCTGCATATCAGACATTTACATTACAATTCACACCAGTAGCACAATTACAGTTATGAAGTAGTATCAAGATAATTTTATGGTTGGGGTCACCACAGCATGAGGGTCAGCACTAGGAAGGTTAAGACCACTGCTATAGAATATACTGGTGCAAACAGGACAGCTACACCACTCTCTTTTCCAAGGCTCAGGGGTCATTATAGAAGAGGAGGCAGAAAGATTACTAAGTGCCTGAGGTCAGAAAGGACTAGAGAAAACAATGTCTTCTGACTTGGCAAGATGAACACACTCATGACCTCCATAGCTATGGTTGCTGTACAAAATCAGGCCAATCAACATTATAGCGTGGGAAGAAGGTCATGATCCCCACCTCCTAATGGAGGAGCTATGGACAATGTGGCTTCTGCTGAAAAAGATTCAGGGGTGTGGCTCCTAGACAATCATCCACACTCCACTGGATGGTCTCACACCAATGACTATAGGAACAGCTCACACCAAATTCATAGGCCCTAGATGAAAACCTACTACTTCTACTACTCCTACTACTCTGATAAATAGACACCTCCAAATGAATGAGTATTATAGCCTTAGATTGATGCTTCTCTCAATCCTCATCAGAGAAATTTCTTTCGGTAGATGACAGTTAGCGTGGAGACTTACAATGGGCCAAAGTGCAGAAAACAGATTACAGGATGCTCAGTCCTGAGAGGGACATCTGTATCACACAGCTCCTCCCAAGACTTAAGGGCTTATTGAGGGAGATGGCAAAGAAAGAGTGACTACAAAGAAACAATGTCTTTTTTATACAGCAGGATAGTTGCATATGTAAACCCACCATGGTTTTAACATGTATACCTGAGATCTATGCAACCTCAAGCCAGACAAAATTCCAGCATGGAGAATATAGGTGTGCATGAAGTCCAACCCCTAAGCTAATAGCTACTTGGAATGGATGAATCTATTTTCTTTAACTGTATAGCACCTGATAGGGCACCCACACTCCTGTGGTAGACCACAAATCCAAGAGTATATGGGCAGCACAAATGTATTTGGGTTTAAAGAAAAGAGTATACAAAGTTGGATGGGTAGGAAAGCAGGAATGGGTCTGGGGGGGATTTGTAATGGGGTAAATAGGATCAAAATATAATAAATTCTCAAATAACCAATACAAAAGAGAAAAAAGGAAGAGTGGATGGATAAACTGAAAAAAATAACTAATGATTCAATTATTTCTTTAAGGTACTTAATAACCCTTTAGGGTAAAATAGTGTCTGCAGTTGAGAAGTTGCTCTAGTTTTAATGTTTAATGTTCTCTAAATAAGTGAATTAGTGTAGCATGAACACTTGTCCTGACTTCACCGTACCTAGATCTGTCCTGATCTTTTGTCATTTCATGTTCCCTGTCTCACAAAGAGAAGATCATGCAGCTGACAAAAGCCTGCCCACCTCTTATGCAAAAATTCTAACAGGAAATGAAATGCTGGAACAAGATTGTTGGCCAACAGAAGTTTCTTGGGCTCTTTACTTTCAGCATGTTCCATACTACACACTTATGTGTATTCCAAAACCTGGGGAAATAGTATAGATAAAAGACTAAACCACTATCAGTGAGCTCTTATTAGTGTCAACGAGGCCTAGATTCCATGCTTTAGACATCACTGAAGTCAAACCCACATTAGGCATGGTAAAACCTTTAAAGAGAAGTATATGTTACAGGGTGCTTTCCCTGATAACTCCATGGGTAAAGTGAAGATGGTGGCAGAATGAATACCTTGCTTTGTAGGGTTTACTCTTAAAAGATTCTGAAGACTGAAACTCTCACCCAGCTGTTGCAAGAATCTAAGTGTTTCCACTTAAAAAGAAGGATTTTAACCTTAACATAGTAAAATTACATATAACAAAACAGTTATCAAATAAGAACCACAGTTAACAATATTTAGCCCATTAACATTTAGCAAGATTTAAAGAAAATATTCCATCATGTATCCTATCTTTGTGAGTGTAAAGTCTTATATGTAACTTATATTTAATCCTAAATAAGGAAAACTATAACCATAACTATCTATCTTCAACTCCATCAAAGGCCACAGAATGATAATCTATAAACTCTAGAGATGACAGAGACAACTTTCCTGGTCAGTCACCCGAAGTTCTTCTGTAATGGTCCATCTTCAACCTATAGGCCATAGTGTGTCTGGCAGATTCCTCAGCAAAGCAGGAAGCTTTAAACTGTCCACCTGTATTGGCAGTTTATCAGTCACTTTCTCTGTGTCCTGCAGACTGTCTGGCAGACTCTTCCTTGAAGCAGGAACCCTGTAGCAATGTCCATCTTGTATTAGCAGTCACTTTCCTGTGGGTCCAGTTTATACAGCATAAAGTCAAACAGTCCAGACAAGAGTGGTATCTTGCCCAAATGATTAGTTTTGCCATATTAGAAGTAAACTCCATAATGACTTTCTTTGATGTCCATCTTCCTTTCTGATGCAGGTGGTATTGCCAGGAGCAGTTATGTCTCACTGTTAATAAAAACACTAAACCATTTTAAATGTCATATTCTGTCAGTCTTTGAAAGGTTTGAAGAATGCCTATCCATCTCAAATACATCTTGAAAACCTACCTAACTTAACTCTAAAGGTTTGACTCTCATAGGTAACTATCTATAATCTTTACTAAGTTATACATTGCATTTCTAAATGAGCTATATAAACACAATACCTAAACAAGAGAAATATACATATCATGAAATTGACCTTAAATTGTATCAATAAATGAAAATCCATTCCAAAACAAAGTATTAATTTCTATACCATAATCCCCTTTTTACCTTTAAAAAGAGATTGGTTGTAATCATAAGCCATTTATAACCAAGCCCATATAAGTGAAAATAAACATTTATAAGTGATATTTGAGAATTTGGACATCATGCTTTCCAAATTGCTTCCTGCTGGTAGGGGGCACTGCCATGGTGATCCTAAGAAGACACAGAAATCCTGGCTTTAGTGGTCTGCAGGGCTGCCTTGTCTCAGCTGTTTTGAATGTTGAGTTAGCTGGGACACTGCTTCAAGGGGTCTGGCTTGATCAAACCATGTTAGTCTGGAAGGAATCCACATCTTTCCATTTTCTGTGGAAACAAAAATAGAAATTCTTTTCCCCAGTAACCTCTTCTTAGACTTAAATTTTGGAGTCAAAGCATTTTTAAAATATATAAATTGAATTAATCCATCAGTATTTCTTTTAACAGTTGTTATTTCCTCAGCAGTCCAAGACAACAGAACAGCATATAGTATCCAGACTCTTTTTGTGCTTTCCATCTTTACATGGCTTTTTTGTTACTCTATTTCTTCTACTTCTATTATTTCACTTTTTGAGGCAGGGTTTCTCTGTGTAACTTTTATCTGTCCTGGAATTAACTCTGTATACCAGGTTTACTTTGAAATCGCAGAGATCTGCTTGCCTCTGTCTCCAGTGTGTTGGCATTAAAGGCATGTGCCATCACACCCAGCTACTCTCTGTCATTATTATTCTTTTTTAAACCATTTTATCCTGTTTCTTTTTCTCTCCCAAGTCTACATATATATTTTAAAACACACTGTAAACCTTTTGAGGTTTTTCTTAATCTGAATCTGTCTTTACTGTAAATCTTTATCTTTTTCTGGCCATGAGTCTTTTATCTGGTAAACAACAACATTGCTAAAATGAAAGCCACAGCTGTATTAGCTGTGGTCTATCCAAGGTGGTGGCAGGTACTTTTACCAGCAGAACTGATAGCTGTACTCACTGCGTTGGTCTATGCTGCCATCCAGCAGCATGCTGCCAGCATGGAGATGTAGCCACTGCCATTGCCAACTCTCATACACACCATTCAGTTGTTAGCAGAGCTCTTTAAAAGCTATGCAGTTTTTTGCCACTTATGCTGAGTCAGGAAATCTCCCTTAAAGGAGCTGTGCAAATCTCTGCTTGTCTCTGGCAAAACAGAGTCCAACTGAGAAAATGCTGGTACCAAGAAGCCTTGCTTGTCCTTGTTCTTTTCTTTCTGAAACCCTTTCTTAAGCTTTTGTTAAGTTTTAAGTGGAAGTTCTTAATTACCCACGTTGCCGACACCATTTTGTTAAGAGTAGTTTTTTCCTGCCAGTCTGCCTGGTCCCAGCTATGCCAGCCCCAAATAATACACTGAGACACTGTATTAGATATAAAGCTGTTAGCCTGTTACTAGTATTTCTTATGGTTAACTCGGTCTTAAATTTAACCCATTTCTATTAATCTAAGTATTTTCACATGGTCTCATCTTACCTGAGGGAGGCCCAGACCTCTGTTCTCTTAAGTCTCTACATGTTGACTCCTCCCTCCTACTTTCAGAATCCTCCGTTTCTCCTAGTCCCACCTATCTTGCTTTCCTATGGGCCAACAGTGCTTTATTCATTAACCAATATGAGAAACATATTTACAGACATCTCCCATCAAGCAGTTATTGAAAAATTAGATTTTTACTATTGGAAACACAAATGCTAAAGTGTGATAGACTCGTCTATAAAAGGGAAGTGGATAAAGTGTAATATCAGAGGTCAGACACTGGATAAGTAATAAATCTTAGTGCACATGGATCTACAAATGGATTTACCTGTGCTGCTTCCTCCTTGGTTAAGCACATTGCTGTAGTGGATGTTTAGACAACGGTTAAATGCGTATGTGTTTTCTTCCAGGGTGGACACCCTGGGCCTTTGGGGACTCCTTCTGTTCCCCCATCATTCCGGCCGGAAGATGAGCTCGAGCACCTGACCAAGAAGATGCTGTATGACATGGAAAATCCCCCTGCTGATGACTACTTTGGTGAGTGGGGCCTGGAGCTGACTTTTGAAGTAAATGCCATGTTCCATTTTCCCTACTGAGGGATGGGGGTTATCAGCTGCACTGGTACAGTGTTTGCATCCACTGCATGAGAGGTAGTATATACACACAGCACTGCATTTCTGAATAGACAACCTTGAACAGGGAATAGAGTGAGCTTGTACTAAAACCTCAGTGAGCCTTAGAGTTATTTGATATGCAAAACAAGACGCATTTTGAACAATTTATTAGCTGAGGCAAAAGTAGATCATCTTGTGTACACTATGAGTAAAACTTGGAATCTGATACTGCCTAACAGTATTCTGGAGTCTCACCATCCCTGAATTCAGAGGGAAATGATACCTCTATTTGTCACTTTTTCTCTCTTCAAAACTATGAGTTGCTATGAACAGCTCACGTTATTCTTCCACATCCATTACTATAGGTTTGGAGGGAGTGTCATTTGTGAGATGCTGAAGACACAGCTTGTCAAGGGACAAGGCAAGCACAGGTGATTGTGAGTGCAAATAGGAAAAGGTGGGAGTCCTATAAACTCTGTGAACACTGAAGAACAGAAAGTTATCCTTGAACCTGACCGTTTAAGCCAATCTTAAATGTAGGGATTGTTTGCTGTCCAATCTCATTTTTTAATGGTACTTTTGTAGCATGTAAGTAAATTAATTCTGGGAAAATAACTTTAAAACTGCAACATATTAACAACTGTGAAATAGAAGACCAAGTTCTATCATTACATTTAAGAGGTGATATAATAGTTTCTAAATATTCTTTCTCTACTTTGTGTTAGTCTCGTTGCTTTCTAAATAGGTTCTTGACAGATGTGTAGAGACAGATGTGTAGAGAAAGGTCACTTGGGTCGCAGTAATGAGTAAGGTTCCAAGGCAGAGAACCAAAGAGGTTTTGCATCCTGAAATATTTCCTGTCTTCATGACTTCTCTTTAACGCCCTATTGTGTATGAACAATGAATGTAAACTGAGACCACTGTCCCAGTGCTGGAGTGTATGGAGTAGGTGTGACTGGTATACAGAAAGCAAGCACTTCCTGTACACAGATGTCACTGTAATTTAGCTACAAGGATATGAGGTGGGGATAAAGACCCCTAATTCTGCAGTCAGGGAGATGGCTTGGCTGGTGTTCTGGTTGGCTTTTCTGTTACTGTGATAAGTGGCATGACCAAAAGCACCTTGGGGAGGAAATGGTTTCTTTCATTTTGCAGGTTACACCCCATCATTAAGGGAAAACAGGGCAAAATCTCGAGGTGGGAACCACGGAGGAATGATGCTCATTGACTTGTTCCATGATGAAGCCAACTAAATACAACCCAAGCCTACTGCCTAGAAATGGGGAATAGTAGGCTAAGCCCTCCTATGTCAAATAGCAGTAAAGAATATTACCCATAGACACATTGGCCCCAGATTGGCTCACAGGCCAGTCTGATGGGAGACAATTCTTCAAAAGTGGTCCTTCTTCACTGGTATGTAAAGTGGCAGCCAAGGTGACATCAGGTTCAGGTAACCATTTAATCTGTAGAATTCACACAGTGGAACAGAACTGACTGCAAGTTATCCTCTGACCTCCTCCATGAAAATACTGTCACTCACACATCTCCCAGGCCCATTCTTTGCACCTATTCACACACTAAATAAGCAAGTAAATTTTAAAACTAATTTTTCAAAGAAACCTGATTCTGGTCCCTGCTGTGCCCAACTAAGTATTGCTAGCAGGCCCATCTATTACATGAGCCCAGTTTCCCACCTTGGTGACTCAAAAATTTGGAACAAATGTTCCAAATTTCTTTAAACATTAGCAAATCTACTGTAGAAACACCATCAATCCAATGAAATAAAACAGTGAGGCTAAACATCAGATTATGGCAGTTTGCATAAATGCATGAAAAAATAGTAAGACAGAAGCAAAGGTAGCTTTATATATCAGAATATTGTAAAACTTCATTGTTCTCTTATTGTAGTAGTAGAAGGGTGTATGTTAGAATTCATATTAAACTAAAAAAAAAAAGTTAACGATGAAAAGTAAGCCATCCACAATTAAGATATATTAAAAGTAAAAAGCTACCTTCTGAGTTCATGTGCTTCTGGTATTGTACAATATTATCTTCAGTGATAAAATGAGCAACTATAGCAACTGTATCAATGGTTGAATGTTACACACTCAGAAAACAGATAAAAATGATCTTAGAACTGCCCTAGCTTTATGGCATACTAGCTTAGAAAACTTGAGCTATTCCTTAAGCCTTCTTTGGTGCTGTTTCATGTACAGTGTGGAAACAATAGCTATCTTATACTGTGATTGTGAGTAATGCATGAAAAATTGATAGGATGCACTCAGCCAAGTTCTTGGCATGTAGCATATGTTCAATAATCAGAGCTCACCAAAGCTCCAGAGATGTGCAGCTTATTTAAGAAAATAAGATATCCCTATTAAAAATCCATCAATAACACTTGATTTAAATTTAAGTTCTAGCAACAGCAAAAGGTGTGTCACTAACAGTCAAAGTAATCGCTGCCAAGTGGAGGTTGCTAACCATAAGAGAGAACTGGAGAATGTTTTAGTTTTACTGAGTGTTTATGAGATGGTTTATGAACTTCAGAAATTAACTTATTTAGTCCTTATGGAAGAATGTAATCCTGTGATGTAGATGTCACTATCATGTTCCCATTAGAGAATTAAGGTCCAGGAATGGTGTTTTGCCCAATATCAACAAGTAATGGGCTGCAGAACTGGGTTTCAAGCTATGCACCAAGCCTATATCATTGAACACCAGGCTCTGAGGTGGAGGGTTTAGATCATAAACTCTGGGAATGTTTAGTGGGGAGATTACCTTTGGAGAGATGGGCAATGAAACATGAGGAGTCTCTTTTAAATAGATAAACAAATTGTGGGTGGTGCCAAGATTGTTGAAAGATAACGCGCTTTATGTGGAAAACCTGGATGTGGTTCTGTACATGCCAGGCTGGCGTGTTTGCCACAGGCATGCCTTTTCCCTTTGAAAGTGCTTATGTCCCAGAGGAGCCTATGAAAAATCAGTGTGTTATTGTAACAAGAACATAGAGTGATGTGTGGTTTGATGTCCATTCAGCCACCATTCTGAGAAAAGGAGTATCTAGAGGCAGCAATAGAGAGGTAATTATGGAATCATTAAGCCTTGGGTGAGTCTTTACACTTAGTTTAATTAAACTTTGGAAATAGTAGGATCCTAGAGGAATGGAGCAATTTTTGATGAGGAAACTTTTGACATAAAAGGGGAGAAAATGGTGGAATAGAAAGCCCCTTGTGGAAGTGACAAATATTAGGCATCAGTTTGTGGTGTCAGTTGAGACAAATCTTTAAAGGGTTTCTAGGCCCTGGCTAGAAACCTGTGGACTTCATCTTCTCTAATGAGTTGCCTGTTGAGATCTAATGCCATGGGGATTGTTCCATGGAAAATGCTCACAAACATAGCTTCAGAGAGAGATGGCTTCAAATACCATCTTGGCTTGTGTTGCTTAGCAACATAAAGTCAGGAGTGAAGGTACTTGTTGTAGAACCTTGACCATCCCACTCTTTAGACACATCCCATCACTTCCTCTGCTGGAGGGAACCTGTGCTATCAATGCGCACAGACAGAAGCAGTCCAGGGATTTCAGTACAGATGTCAGTACAGTGGGACTATGGGGAAAAAGAAGATAGGGTCTATCTACCCTCCTGAGGATGGTAGAGAAAAGGTGAAATAGCACTGGTTGACCAACAGAAGTAGATAAAATCCTCTCTTGCTCTCTATCCAGAAAGAGTTGAGAGGACCAGAAAGCATTTGGAGATAGGAGAAAATTCAGTTAACCATCCTTATTAGGCACAGGGATGCAAGCTTTGGCTCATTGCCTTCTCCTTTGGAGTTATCTGTCTTGGGTGGAAAAATGTAAGGGTGAATTTACACTTGCAAGGAGCCTCCGCTCCAGTGTCGGATGCTTGGAGTGATGAAGGGGTAAAGAAGTAGAAATCATTCTAACATGAAGAATTCAAAACTTAAAGAACTTTAAAACTTGGTACAAAATGATGGAGGGAGAATGACTAGAAAACTGAGCAGCTAGCATGACTGCTGAGCAGCTTGGGTCCTACACTTTTCAAGTCATTTCCAAAGAAAATGTAAAGGAAAAGTTGAGCTATAGACAATCATAGAATGGCTCTTGGACGTATTCCGAGTCCAAGATTTCTGTTTTCTTCTACTTTGAAAGGAAATAAAATTACCTGTGAGACAATTTGAGGGAGTTAGACAGATAGTACACAAGGAAGGAAGGAAGGAAGGAAGAAGACAGAGAAGACTCATATATTTTTAATGAGTCAAAGATTTAATGGTAATTTTTAAACACTTCCATGCTTCTTCTATCATCTGAGCTAGACAGCAGACCAGGTAAGGAGGCAGTAAGTTCATTTCCATTCAAGAACCAGGTGATAATGAGCCCCCCTGCTCTCCAGGATGCTAAGCTGCCCTCACTAGTCATAGAGCTGACAAGGAGCAGAATGGCTTTGGCTCCGCCTTCTGACTCCATAGTCTCTACTTTGCACTTCTTTGTGCACTCATCCGTTGCTGAGTTGGTCATGGACAGGTTAGATCAGGTAACACCCTGTGTATGAGCTCTCAGGTATGTACTGAGAGGCGTGTGACTGCTTTGGAAATTGTTTAGCAGGTCTTAACCAAGGTGCTGGGTGATTTGAACTAGATTGTCATTATTGTCATGTGACAAGAAAATTATTTCCAAAGTGTCGCTGTTGATTACAAAATGAAGACTGACTCCAGGTGGGCAGCTTCCCTTGGTGGAGATGGAACTTGAGGCCTTAGGGATCTTGTTTTCACACAAAAGTAACTGAATACAATCCCCAAAACCACAGCATCAGAGAAAAAGTCGAAAATGGGTGGCTTAGAGGAAAGGTGGCATTGATTAGAGGGGAAAGGTGGGTTGTTTTGGTTTTCTTTTTCTCTTTTCAAGGT